CATCATTGTTCTCTAATGATGGAAAAAACCTTTGAGTGTTCTCGTTATTCTTGCTGATAACTTCATCGTTAACAAATAAATAATCATTTGAATTGTTTCTCTCGTCATCTATCTTTAATTCCGAATTTAAACTTTTTTAAATAACTACTATTTATATTTTTGAATTAAGGAAAATTTTTTTTAATTTGCATTTGACTAGCTAAAAACATATTTACTTAACGACTCTTATTCGAGGATATGATATTCATCTGTTGGTAATATTTTATTTAACGGTTTGTTAAAAACAACTGTCATCTTATAAGAACTAAAAAACAATGTGCCCTATATCTAAAATATAAAAATCATCCATTCTTTCTTGTATTATCAAATTATTATAAGGATTTTAAAAATCATCAAAAGTTCAAGTATGAAAGTATCGAAAAAAAATTCAACGACAGACAGGAAGTCTATAACAAATCTCACCAAACTCAATAACAAAATCATTTGCTGTAACAGACGCTTTGATAATGATATTTTTCTTGTACTCTATGACTTGATCAACAACACTATTTACTTGTAATAATAGATGGTGTTTTAATTCTCAAAATCTCAAAAAAAAAATACCTAACAGGAAGAAAGAAGAAGATTAGTATTACTATTATGTAACTCTATAAAAATTTGTATGTATTCTAGATTAAAACGAACTCCTTTCTAAAATAGTGAAATAGTGTTTTCGCTAATAAGACTCTGTTATTTTGATATGTAATTGTTTATTTTGAAAATATACTATACGAAAACTATAAATAAATCGTCTTCGGTTATCAAAATTAATTTTCACGCTTAAATAGGTATACATAAAAGTTATTCCCGACCAATGACAAAATTTCTATATCATTACTGCAGTTTCGATATGTTGAAAATTTATTCTAAACGAAAACAAAAAGATAGATAATAACCAATAATATTATTGAGAAGTACAGTAAATCGATTTAAAGTAACGACTAAGTTTCATAAAATATAGTAATGTACCTCAAAGGACAGTATAGTAAACAGGTGCGATGTATTTTTTCCGTTGAGCCATCTGCTATCTATCTTTTCTGAACGTTTCAGCTCAATCGACGGTGTCTTTTTCAACATATTGCTTTTCTTGACAATGGCATCTCTCAGAGCTGTTAGTGGAAATTCAATAAAAAAAGTCAAGGATTCAACTTGTGTTTCTGAGTATATCATGGCTTGTTTGTCCGTTTGTTTTTCATGTAATAGATCAATAGAAGCAGTTTGCTACAGGTGAATGTTACAATTAACTCTCTCATATGTGTGGTATTTAACAAAGCACAAAATGCTTAAATCAAAGATCACCTACTTTATTTGAATTGTGCTTCGAATGATCCTATCCAAGTAAAGCAAGTGTTGATAAATGACAATGCGGAAGAAAAAAAATGAAACGCTTTCCACTTGCAGAGCATGCATAAAAAATTTTAGTTCATAGAAATAAAATTTTTTAGAGGCAATGTATGTTTCTATTAAAATTATTAAACTTCTTCAAACTAGTCACCGTTTTACCATGTCTTTTTCTTGTTGCTTTTACCGAAAGAAATTTAATATCTTAATTGTTGTTTACATATTTTCTTAACAGTTTGTCATTTTTTATTATTCTATTTTCTAAGCATTTTATCTTCAGTTTTCCACATGGTTTATTATAATAGTGGAAGATTCATACCTTATACTAAACTCTTCACCGTATGTTATAGTAGAATATATTTCCCAACTTCCTCCATGGAGAAAAATTTTTTCTTCCAGAAGTTATCGCATTTCCGAGTTGTACTTTAAACGCTATGAAAGCATAAGAAAGTTATTGTAAGTCATTAATGTCCGTTTCAGATTTATATGGTTGTGGACATTTTTTTGAATAACTTTTGAAAAAAGAGAGAGAGAGAAAAGCAACTCGAATTTTTTGTAGTATCTACAGTCGATACTGTTATCTTTTTATAAAACTAATAAATAATTCCAGTTGCTTTCTTCTTGAGTATCTCATGAGTTTTACAGATCAGGTTAATTTGCTTTGAAAACAGTATACTTTGCCGACTATAATATATAATGGACACATAGTCTGAATTCTCCTCTATCAATTGATGCAAGATCAATATCGATAACTGTTTGTGTTCAAAAGTTATAAAAAATTTACTAAAGGTGAGTGGTGTGAGTGTGACTGTTGGTATTCCCTGCAACCACCATCACACCCATACCCAGTGAGATGCTGTATCCTGTATCATATAGAACCAGCTTCGACCAATATGAAAACATGCCATACGAATGGATTTATGGTTTACGTGTGATGAAAGCAACCAGTTACATGAGTTATATCAAACAATATAAGACAAAATTTTAAAAGACCGATATTTATATTGAACAGATCGAAGAAGAAATAAATGATTATGACAATAATAGCTCTAGTTTTCTATAGTACGGATGATACTGATTGATTAACGACTATTATTTAACTAAACATCTTTAAATTCTGTTCGCTTTACCAATTTAGATTTCAAGATTTGTGCGATGAAAATGTTAAAAGAATGAAGTTTGACGAGAACTTCCTGAAGATATTGAATCATTCTCATCAAAATGAATTTTGTGTATGGCTTCTTATGACATTATTTGTAGAAAAATTTCCATAGGTTATCGAATTGTCTCATGAAAGTCAAAGATGACTAACAATTTAGAGAACGGAAAAATTGTTACTTATGCAGATTTTGAGAAAAAAGCTACTAAGCGACCTTCAGTAAGCTTTTTATATCTTTTGAACACACACAGTTATCGATAGAGGAGAAGTCAGACTATCTGTTCCTTGTATCGTATTAGGAAAATTGTACTGTTTTCAAAGCAAACTAAGCTCATCTACGAAACTTATGACTGATTCGAGAAAAACGACAGAAATTTTTCATCATTTTTGTGTAAAGATAGGAGCGTCAACTCTAGATACTACGAAAAATTTGAGTTACTTCTCTTTTTTTGTTTTAAAGCTATTCAAAAGATGCCCACGAGTACTTGACTCGAAAATAGGCATGAGAAACAAAACAAAATAGATACGTCACAATTGACAAAGGATTTTCAGATGAAATTGGAATGCCTGAAATAATTAAAAAAATTAAAAAGAATTTTTTTTTTTATTTATATGAATAAAGAATAAAGCCATTGCACCGTTTGTTATAAAACTAAAAATTCCTATAAATCGAGTTCCACACAATCAATCTTAGTAAACTTCTTTTTTATTTGACTGGTCTGAACATGGTCATTTACTTCTGAAAAAAATACCATTTTCATCTACTTTAGTTTTCGAAAAATCGTAGCGATAAGTCAACTATATAGCTTTTGGCAGCATCTGTCGGCAGCCAACGAATATATTTGTAATACCATAATAGTTTTTTTTTAAATTAGTTTGTCAAATAGGGATGTAGAATTGATTTTCAAGTTGAATATGCATAGCGACTTTTTCAATTTTATTATTACCATAACTCAGTGAGCACATAATAGACTAAAATTCTTAAAAAAGACATGTGGAGATCTTTCTCAGTTTACTAACAAAATGTGGAGCGAAATTTTTTTCAAGTATTCACTCACTAAGGCTGATCGATATATGAGAATAGCATACAGGAATCGTCTCTGACATAGCGAATCATTGGAAAAATATTCTATCCATACATAATCGTCATGGCACTATCTGATTATTGAAAAGTCAAGTCACATAAAGCTTTGTAAAAGAAAAAAAATATTCAACGAGAATAATAATGCGTCATATAACATCGCTTATAGTATTTAAACAATAAACTTAGCTTTCAATTTGATTAGTAATTACAACAGTTTATTAGCTACAATTTGATGTAATCCTTATAAAACAAACATGTGGTGCTATGCATTATTGCTTTATACAAAGTTACTACATATATTTGCTCGTCTACAAATAATCATCATAAAAAACTTTTGCTTTAAATTTCATCAATCATTTAATATCAGCTATATCCCCATAATTAGAAAATTTATGATGACAATTTATACTTAATATAGAAAAATAAACAAAGTATTGCACCAGCAATGTTGTTAAAGTTACACTTGAACGATTGCAATTCTCCTATCAAAATATTACTGTAAACAAAGAACGTAGAAGATAGCTTTTTCTTAACACATATATTTACTATGTTTATCATCTCATCTAACGACATTAGTTGAGAATGGCATTCATTCTCTTTAGCGAATGACTGCCAAGATAGACACTAAGTTAGACATATACATTGGATATACTTATTTGTGATAAAAAAGAAACAATTCTTTCATATTGGTTTCTCTTCAATTTTAACAGTTTTTTTTATCTAAATTTTAATTATTCATTCAAATCTTACAATAGTGAACACCCATATGTTTCATAGCAGTACTATCCTTGAAAATGAAAATGTCTGACTCCCTCGTTTTTCTGACACTAAACGAGAGTCGATAAGACATTAATATGAATGATACTCACCAAGACCCCCTATAGTATATAATATTTTTAAGCATCTTCTCAGATAATACATTCAAATATGTTCCTTCATGAGTCTAACTTGTTATGCTATTCATTTTTTGAAAAACTTTACAGTAGTTAATATGTAAAATATCGATATTTGAGTAGTTTTTTAGTTTATTCACTTGTTATACATTATGACATTCATACCCTTCACATTCATTATATTTCATCAAAGTCAATCGCTCTGCATTTATTATACTTTGCCCTATCTATGTGCTTTGCCAGCATAAAACATAAAAAATAAATAAATATGATTATACAAAAATAAGGCTGCAATTAAAACATGTGCGATACATTTTACAAGGTTGTATATATATATTGATGTAATTGTGTTCTTTCTCTTGTTTCTGTTTAAACCATTCTGTTCGATATTACTTGCGAAGGTAAGCAAATGATCACATTACATTGTTTATGTTTTGAATGTACATCATTATTTCTTAACTAGACAACAAAGAAGCAAACAAAAATGGACGATGATGAATTCGATCAAGTACCTCAAATTCTATTCGAAAATGTTACATCCCTCAGTAAAATAGGCACTCCTGGAACTCTTATTCCGATGACGCAGGATACACGTGCTGTACTGTGTGGTGATGATTCTAATAATGTCCTCGTTGTTGCTACTCGATTCCGTAATGGTCGATGTTTAGTATTTGCACACAATGGTTATCCTGCTATTTTTCTTAATAATGACACAAAAAATCAGCATTTTGTCGACAATTGTCGTCGATGGTTATCTCAAGGAAAAGATGCACAATTCGAATCAATCGATTCGATAGAATCGATGGACAGTGTCAAAGAAAAAGGAACAATTCTTGTTTGGAATGGACATAATAATAAAAGCGATCCGTTCATGGACGATTTGGTAAATAGTACCATAGTTTTCTTTTTGTCATGAAGACTATTTTGAATATTTTCGTATCATTAGCGTGGATTTTTACAAGAAGGTGGAGCTCTGGTTTGTGCAGCAACTGCCTGGGGTTGGCTACAGAGATATAAGGGCAAAGTTCTTTCAGATTTCCCATTTGCTTGTTTTTGTGATTCTCTTGGTGTCAAACTGACCGATAATTGTGGTCGTTCTCCCGATCCAATTCCGTTTCGGCCTGAAATGATCAAATTCAAAAATGTTTGTAATGCTGCTCAGGTATTGCCCAAGTGAGCAAAAAATGACGAAAGACGGCGTCCATAACTAGTCCAAAATGTCCGCAACGCTCGTCAAGTCTAGTCTGAAACGTCTTGCACATCCGTCATGACTAGTCACCTATTGGAGAAATGTTCTTCAAATACGTCTGGACTAGTCCAGAAAGTCCTTGGACCTAGTCATGTCTAGTCCATTTTGTCTTTTGAACCCGTCCAGACTAGTCCGAAGACTAAAAAAAGAAGATGAAAGACAGATTCGAACACCCAACCCGACAGTATTCAAAACAGGACAGGCATCCTGACGGTAGACTAGGACATTGAGATGGACTGACGTCAATTTATATAGTCTAAGATACAAAATTGACTCCCATCCACCCACTAGACAATCAGAAACCAGTCGATGTCACACGACTTTGACTAGTCTGAAACGTCTTTCATAGAGTCAAGACTAGTCCGAAGCGTTGTCTGCACTCATCATGACTAGTCCATTTTCAAAGAGTATGTCACCTGTTCTAGTCAGACTAGTCTGAAAACACTAAAGAATTCACCTTCGTTGAACTAAATATATCTTGTCAATTCGTTTAAACTGATCAATAATGGATAGTACAAGAGATAGAATGCAAGCAGAAAACTTTTCAATATCTATATGATTTGTTAAAAATAATCAATGGAAAATATTTAATGCATCGAGACCATGAACTAGATGATAGAATAACAATCGTTTTATTATCTCTCTTGTACTCAAATCTTTCTGAATTGATGATCTAGATTGATCCGTTATATCATGATTACGGTAATTAATAATATGCATTTTTCATATTAAAACTAGATCGATCGTCAAGATACTATGAATATTTTTCAAGGTAGAACAACAATCATAGAGTCTGTTATAATTAACAATGAAGTTAGAGATAGATAATATACTTTGTACATTCCTGTCTTCATATAGCTTATTATATTTTGTATTTTAATATATTGAAAATGTAAGAGTATATCGGAACCAACAAAAAAGATAGGAGTACGTACAATGAACAATATTTACTCGTAGCGAGGAATGTTAATTTATATTTTTTAAAATTATTAGATGTACTATATTTAAAAAAAACTGAAGAATAATTTTAATTTGTTTATAGCATTATTTTATGTTATTTTATTTTAAATATGAATATTCTAATATTTTTAAATTAAAGAATATATTTAAATTAAACAAAGTTAATTTAATTGCTAGTTGAGATAGGATCATTTTAATATAAAACCAAACCATCATATGGAAAAATAGTTTCTTTTCAGTATAAATAGCTTTTTTATTTTTACATTTAAAATTTATTTTTTTTAAATACAACTAATTGTTCCTAGATAATGATAATCAAAAGATATTTTTTCAAAAAATAGACAAATCTTTTTGAATTTATTTTTTTAATGTTGTCCAAATAATGTCGTATTCAGTAAAAAATAATTTTTATTTAAATGTGAACATAAAAAACTTTGAACTGTATTAAAGAGCATCTTAGAATGATTATGACCATGTAGAAGCTAATTTATTGATCATATGGCTCAATGGTTTAAGCGATGGGTAAGTAATACATTGTATGCATGTTCGAACCTAATCTTCATTCTTACATATTTCTGTTTAGACTAGTCTGGACTCGTCCATTACACACAAGACTGCAACTTGTCCTATGCACCGTCCCTGACGTCTTTACTTTTTCAGTTTTAAACTCATTTTGGACGGGCGTCGCTGTCGTCCGTCCTGACTAGTCTTTGTCTCAAAAAGTCCTCGTCCAGGACTAGTGCGCACAATAGATAATAATGTTTCGTATAAACCGACTTCAGACAAGTCCTAGACTAGGCCTTCTCAAAAAAAAGACTAGACTAGACACGTATAATGTCGCCCGTCAATCAGGTAATTTAGACGGGGGTTCATGACGGCCAAAAATTCCGGACTAGTCATGTCATAGTCGATTTTGAGACAAAGACCGGGCATGACGGGTCGACATGACTAGAAAAAAGACGAGTCTGTTAGGCCGTCTCTTGCTCACTTGGGTGACCAGCGAACCAAATAATGTCGAATATATGGCTATCGTCGGATCGACAATCAAGGAACTAAACGATACATTGCCTGATTCACTAATTGAAACTGTACAAAATATGATTCTAAATGCTGAAAGTGATGTTATTCCAACGAAAACATCACCAATTAAAGATCAGTCATGTCGACAGCGATCAGTCGGTCTGTGTGATATGATGTGTGGATTATGTAATACTAAAGCTCCTGGTAAGTAAGGTCACGTTTAACGATCAATATTAAGTTATATGTCAATCTTAGGTATAAACGAATTTCCTGGTGATTTTGATGATACACCGTCTATGGAAACAGATGTCACGGTTAATATTCAGTCGAAGAACAGCGAATGGTATTGCACAGGTATGTTTGAACTTGTTCAAACCATGAAAAAGTTCTTCTTTGCCCATAGATCTTGAAACGATACTAAGTTCGTTATCTTTCTTTTAGGATACTACGTAGCTGCGGGTACTACCATGCAAATCGATGTATCAGAACAAGTTGGTGCAACTGGATGGTCAGCCAGAATCGGTTGTCACAGTGATGATCTCGGAGTATGTTTTCATACAAAATAGTTCTTCATATCAATATATACACACAAGTTTATTAGAAATGCGATCAATTACGTCGATGGCACTGCATTTCTTCACGCAAACCGCTGTCTGGTACTACTATCAAAATGAGTTCAGCTTTTGGTGGTCTTCTCTTTCTTGAGAGTCCTACTGGTGAATCGAATTCCATTAGTGTTAATCTACAGAATGTTGTTCTAACACCTATCTATGATCTCATGGATTCTAATCGAGAGGAACACTGGGAAGATCTACGTGTTCGTGCACAGGGCTTATGGGCAGATATTGCTGGTCAATATATTGTGTTCAATCTTCCTTCGAAAATTGTACGCGATTTGAATAGTGATCAATTAGATCGAGCTCTTCGTTTCTGGGATACTGTAGTACTCACTCATCATGAATTGCGAGGTACTACACCAGTACGTCGAGAACGTATCGTATGTGATGAACAACCATCAGCTGGCTACATGCGTAAGAATAGTTTGATTCAGATATAAGTTTCCTGATTATCAAAAAGTATTAATTCATTTTAGATGCTGGTTATCCAGTTGTCACTCATTTAGATGTAACTAATCCAGAAGCGGAACATTTCTTAATGAATAGTGATAATCTAGAAAAGAATGGCTCTTGGGGTCTTTTTCATGAAATCGGTCATAACATGCAGCGTGACTGGTGGAGTAAGTGTTGCATGCATATATTTAGATCTTTTGAAAAAAAAAAGATTTTGTTTAGCTTTTAGTTTTGCACGTGAAATAACCACGAATATCTTCACTCTACATGCCATGGATGCTATTTGTCATCTTGAACCATGGATTCACTCTTGGCTCAAGGATCAAATAGAGAAGACAAAAGAGAGTATAAAGAAAGGAACGCCTTTCAATGAATGGAAAACAAATGCTGGTTTTGGCTTGTTTATCTATGCACAACTAGCACGAGAGTTTGGTTGGGACAGCTACAAGGCCGTCTTTCGTCAATATGAGCAAACTAAACCGACTTTGAATAATGATCAAGAGAAAATAGATCACTGGATCACAACCTTCTCACGTCAAGTAGAACATAATTTGGTTCCACTATTCAAATTCTGGGGTTTTCCAATTTCGCAATCAACTATTGCCGGCCTTGGCGACCTGCCAGTTCGTGAAATGTCTGATGAATTAATTGAAATAGCACCAGAACGCTATCAAGTCTAAGGCATCTTCTGTTGGACACGATTAACTTCTTTTAGTAGATGATCAGTTGAACTGATGTATTACACTTCTTATTGGCTTGTATTTATTTGAGCAATAAAAAATATAGAATGAGCAATAATAAAAACATGATTTAGCAATAATTTTTGAGCAATAAAAAATGTTTATTTGAGCAATATTATAATATAAAATGAGCAATATTATGATATTAAATGAGCAATATTTTGACATTAAATGAGCAATAAATAATTTATTATATAACAATATTAATTTCATATTTGAGCAACAAAAAAAGATAGAAGTGAATTATTTTTATTTATAATTTACAAGAAACAAAAAAGAAAAATGGGTGTGGGTGTGGGAGGGTCTGGGTGTGGGGTAGACATCGGCGTGATCAACATTTTTTGGTCACGGTCACGATCAGTTTGGTCACGGTTACGGTCACGGTCACGACCGTTGCCATCGTGACCGTGACCGTGAGTCACGGTAGCCATGCCAGTCTCTATACGAACGACTATTTTCTTTTTTCTCAAAACAGCATACCCTTCTCTTCCGATAGGAGGTCCCTATATTAGAAGGCTTTCCATAATAGAAGACCCCCTTGGAGAAATACGTGCGAGACTTAGTATAAGACTTTATTCAATTATCAAATTTTTCGAAAAATGACAACTTCAACCACTGGATTTACATCATAATATGCTTAGTTTTCAGAGTTTTCAGCTACAAAATTTAACTAAGTGTTTTCAACCTTTTATCTAGGCTTTTAAAATCCGAAAAATTCCTTCTCAAAGCATCAAAATCGCTTTGGCTTTCTGAACAATTTTTTTAGTTGCAATCTGTAGAAAGAAAAGAGACATTACCCAAGACCTTCTGGAAAACTTTTGGGATTAGACACAATAGAAAACCTCGGATCTTGGGTGTGGGTGGGTGTGGGTGTGGGTGTGGGTTCATTGTAGTTTAACACCCACACCCACACCCAAGAATCAGAAAATAGTGTGCTATGAGTTGTGCTTGAGTGATGTATAAAAGTTATATATAAATTTCATGAGGATAAGAAAACGTTTATTGTTGTAAAAAAACGAGTTATTATTGCCCTTTTATATACATTTTACGCTTCATTTTAATTAATTATTGCTCATTTCATGGAATTATTGCTCATTCCATCTAATTATTGCTCATTCAATATATATATTGCTTATTCAATATATATATTGCTCATTCTATATATATATTGCTCATTCTATATATATATTGCTCATTCTATATATTTATCGCTAAATTTGATTATTGCTCATTCTGTATTTTTTATTGCTCAATTAAATATAAGTCGTTTTTGTTTGTTGTTGAGCTACAGTCTAATTAATGTAAACAGGTTATTATTCAAACAGAAAAAGAGCCGAAATTATAAAGACTAGAATTGTTTTTATACAGACAATATATTACAAATATAATATGAGAAACCAATTTTTATTTCTATCATCTATTCATTATAAATGTATTGTATAATTTCTTTAGAGATCATAAGAAATATAACTCAGCATATATATTTTTAACAATATACATTATTGAGTATACTTGTTTTATCTATAGTTTTATGTTTATTTATTAAGTCATAAGAAGAAAAAAAAACACTTTACTTTAATGACAATAGACAGTCTCTGACATATTTCTTGAGAATCTCTAAATAAGTTTGAAGCCTTATAATATCAATATGGTTAGAAAACAACAAGATTTTAATATATTACACAAAACATAAAAGTACAAAAGCCATTTAAGTATATTGATGAATCAACATTTATTCGACTATACAATTGAATGATGATTAAACTATTTTTGTAAAGTTAAAAGCCATACAATGAACTAAAGAAAAAACTTTGATGAAATACTAGAAGTTTTTTTGGCTGAGAAACGAAGAAGAAAAAAATTCGCTCAAGATCTAGTATATTTATTCATTGACGTCATTTAAGGAATGTAATAAATCAACTTTTGTAGATTCCAAATCGCCCACGAAACTTCTCCAGCGCCGAAACAATGATTCTGTACCTTATCACCGAAACGAACATTATTCTTTTTAATCATCTTCGTTTCGGCGATCATTTCGTTTGGTTCATTCTTTCTGAATATTCTTCATATATGTATACTACAGGTATTATCTAAGAATTTCATTGCACAACATTCTAATTTATTATGTAAGTCTACTGGAAAGCTCTTTTGCAGCGATTATCATTAAATGAAATTCGATTGAAAATAATATTCAATCATTTCATAATTCTTTTCTATAACCATTGATATTAAGGTTATATATATTTGAGTTTTGATTGTAAATTTTTGATAATAAATTATATTTATTAAGTGAACTCTTTCTAATATTTGTACTTTTTTTTTTTGTTTTTCTTAAAATCAAGATGACTAATAAATAATTAATTATATATTCCATTATTATAAATGCATTTCTCAGAGCCAAAAAAAAAATGTCAATTTATAATATTATAAATATTCGAAATATTTCATCAGATCTATTCTCGTACACATAAATAGATAATTTCGTGAATAATAAATATGACTGTTCAAGATTGTCCAAGTTTTCTAATAGATATTATTCATGACAAGCAAATAGAGAAGAGTTAATAGATGAACACATCTTCTTTTTAAGCATGACACACGCATATTAATCAAAAAATCGCAAGTGCTCTCTCTCACTCTAATAGGATTAATTTTCAATTTAACTTAAGTATATGAGAAAAAAGTAATACATTGTCAATGAATTATCATTTAGATAACATTAATTTTATAAAACATCTTTGACAGACAAACACAAGATTCCTTTTTTTTTTCTTCCTCTTATGTTGTTCCACTTTCATTTCTACATCATGCCATAGGTAATAGAGTCAACTACATATATATATATTGTACTAAGATGTTATGTTAATTTATTTTGTTATCTATTTGAAACTGGTACATTATGATGATATTCTAAGAATATAATAATACTATAGCGAATAAGTAATGATTTTTGATTGGAAACGTTTCTTTTTTTGAAAGTTGGATATATCGTTCTTGTAAGTAATTAGAAAGGTTCATAAATAATCGTTCGTCCTGTTAATAATTGTTGATAAAGTTGTAAGTTTTGAGCTTTTCATACACGTAAGACCTACAATATTGTTATGATATATAATTTAAAGTGAATATTCGTTTCAGAACTGCAGTTTTATTAATGATTGATTCACTTATGAATCTAATTGACTACTTAAAAGAATTATATATTGAACTTTTGAGAAAAAAAAAAGATACATTAGATATACTATCAGTCGAAAGCTGAAAAATAGTAAAACAATATTTATTTATTCGTTATATTATTCATTTTGTTCTTATACTATGATTAAAATGCACTAGTTTCAGATAAATAAATAAATAAAAAACCAACATATAGATGTGTAATTAATTCTATTATCTATATCATAATGCTGAATAACACGCGAAGATAAAAAGAAAAAAAAATACTTACAGCATACCAAAAGTAGTAGCAGTGGCAATTCGATACTGTATAATAAGATTAAAATAATTTTCTATCAATATGGATAGATAGTAAAAACAATGTTTTACATTTTTGTTATGTTTTATCAGACTTTAAATGATATAATATCGATAAAGACCTGTTTGTTATGATACGTGACGGTTAAATAGAACATACTCTCGTTCGTTTTTGCACTGAATTTTCAATTATCAAGTATACATTAAAGCCGTTGATCAAAGATCTACAGCACTACAATAATATTAACACGTTGATATTTTATCATTTATCAGTTATAGGTATTCTAATTGATACTCGAAGTCGATTGTGTAGTAAATGCTGTGAAATAATCACTTTTTTTTTTGCTTTTTTAAACATCATCATTCATTTGACCGTTACGTATCATAACAGATAGATCTTTGTTGATATTTTATTAGTTGAAATATTACAAAAATGTAGAACATTGTTTTTACTAACTGTTCGTATTAATAGAAAATTAGTTTAATTTTATTATATAGTATTGAAGTATCACTATCGCAACTGTTTTTATATGTCCTAAGTAACTAAAAAAAGAACTTTATTTTTGTGTTTGAGAAATTCATTTTTACATTTTAAAAAGAAAAAAAAAAGTTATAATTTTATTATTTATTTCATTCTGTTATGTTAAAATTCATCTCATTTTATTCTTTTTATAAGAAAAAAAAACATGAAAAATTTATTTATCATGTCTATTGATATAACTGGAGTTTTTTTTTTTGCTCTAAAGAAAGTTCGATAGTACAATAGCTAAATATAAGAATTATAAATTTTTCATGTTTTAGTAGGATTAAATGGATTTATCTATTATATTAATGAATCAGAATAAACTATAATAGAAGTAGATTATAGAATATACACGTATATATATATATGAAATACAATAAATAGAATACAAGTATAGTTTCTCGAGATATAATAATTAGAATTTTCATAAAAAGAATTATAAAAGATTTTTGTAAATTTCTTTACTTTTAATATTCATTTTGTAAAAATACAATAAATAATTAAAATATATCAAAATAATTATTATCTAAGACGACAGTAATCTTCGAGATTGTCTCAGAAAATTTTAATGTTTTATTGGTTTAGGAGGAAAAAAAAAAGCGTTTGACTCATCCTTTCCTATCAGGAAATTTCGATGAATATTACTATCTATTAAATTTAGTGACAAGAAGATGAAGTGAATGTCAAAATATCTGTCATTTGTTTTCCTTTCATACACTATGATTAAGAAATGCTTTCTTATCACGATCCAGAATAATTCATAAAAAAAAAATTGTTTTTCTTAAAAGAATTCATATTAAATGATTTAATGAAATCATTTAATTCGATTTATTTTTATTTAAAGAATATAAATAAAAATTTGAACTAATGACATATGAACAATCATTATTTAAACTACCAGAATTTGTTCAAATTATTGCTGATCCAATAAAAAGACAAGCAAGATATACAGCTAAAATAAGTATTTGTTTAGTTTGTGGTGATAAAGCACGAATTATTAATTATGGTGCACTTTCTTGTGCATCATGTAAAACATTTTTTCGTCGTCATGGTTTTCGTATTGAAGTTAGTATCGATTTATTTATTTTATTTCAATTTTTAGTTTTTTAATAGGAAGTGGAACCATGTCGATTTAATGGAAATTGTGAAATAACAATACAATCTCGAAGAATTTGTTCTGCTTGTCGACTTGCTAAATGTCTTACAATTGGTATGAGTCGTGATCTTATTCGTAAAGAAGATTTAAGTGAAAGACATTTAATTTCAACAATTAAAGTTAAAAATCAACAAAACATCATACAACAAACAAGAACAGTAAGACTATATAGTCACATTGAAAATCTTATTACTCATACTTAAAAAGAAAACAAATATGAGTATTACTATCTTGAACAAATTGTTCAAAAGCAAACATGAAATATCACAATCATGTTGTTCGATAACATAGCACAAAGATTATTAGTTCGAACGATTAAGAGAAAGATTTTCCGTTCTAATCTGCAATTATTAATAGTAATAGAAAAGATATCGAATTGATGAATTTGATGTTGAAAAGTACAATTCAAAAAATGAATTGAATTGTTCATCTCTATCGAAAATTATACAAAAACAACGACATACAAGATCGTATGTGATGTTTACTATCATTGTCATATAGATCTTTTCTTTTTGTCTTCGAATAAAAATAAAATTCAACTCGATATAATGTTCTAATAGTTTCATATTAGTTTCGACAATTGTTCCAAAGATTTTTACATTGTACAAATCATATAGAATAAAAATTCAAACATTATTTTCTATTTATATTTTAAGCTTTCATTTCCGTTGCATACATTGGATTTATTAAATATAGATCGATCAAATCTAACTACAACAGATTGGACATTATTTTCTAATATAATACATGCATATGATATATTTAGTCCAGTTAAATCTATATATAATGAAATAGCATGTCAATCAAAATTACCACTTAAAATACGTATAAAATTTGCACAAAAATTAATACCAAATTTACTTATATCATTTTATACATCATTACAATCTTATATAAGATGTATAAATGAATTTCAAATGTTTACTATTGCTGAACAAAAATGTATTTATCAACGTAATTTTCATAGTACATCAAGTTTAATGGGTCAACTTATATTACGTGAATCAGGTATTATTGAAAATGAAACATATTTATCAGCTTTTGCTTCTTTATATAATATTGAAACACTTATACAAGCAGCATCTATTATGACACGTCTTGATTATGATTCAACACTTGTTAAAATTTTTCTTGTTATTATTTCATTTTCTTCGAATTGTTTTATGATTGATATTTCAACAAATATTTATGGAGATTATATATTAAGAAAAACTAAACAATTATTCTTCTATCAAAATCAATATGTTGAACTTCTTTGGAAATATATGATATTTCGTTATGGTTATAAAGAAGCTACTTTTCGTTTTGCTGGACTTATTAAACAAATAATTGATCTAATACCATTAGTAGTTGATGCTTATGTACAAAATCAGGCACATCATCAAACTATAATAACTGAAATTAGTGAAAAAAACTGAATATCAATAGTAAAGACAATGTCTATAAAAAAAGCGATGTTTAAAAATATTTATTCGGTTGATCACTGATTTAAAAACTATGATAAAAAAAAAAAAAAGAAATTATCTATTATTTTGCTTTTGATCTCATATGTCTTAATTTGCAAATAAAATTTTCACCAAAATATATTACAATAAATTCCAACTAACATATCTTGTAACTTGTTATGAAGAAGAGTTTGCTTTAAAAAAAAATCCGGATAATGAAAACAATTATTTATGATGAGTATCATAGATTTTTCAAAAAGATACAATCTAATGTGTATGTTATTACAGTTTTTATGGGATAAAAATGTGATCAATAATGCCATTGATGTTACTAATTGAAATTCTTGTAAAATTGAAACATCGTCGAATGGATTTATTTCAAGATATGTCTGTTTTTCAGGTTTTTTTAAACTGACAAGCCTTGAAAGGCTATGCTCAACAACATTTCTGAGTTTCTCAAACCCTAAAAAATCACTTCCTAAATATTTAAAATCGTTTTGATTTCTGCGAATGTCTTTTTCCATTGAAATTATGAAAATAAATCAGGCGCAGTAGAAGACTACACCTATCTGTAGGTTTTGTACCATTGAACATAATAGAAGATCCAGAACTTTCTATTGTGGCAAGAGTTTAAACTTATACGCTGATTTATTCAACAGAAAAAAAATTTTCATCATCATTATTCTATCAAATTTTAGTTTGCATATAAACTTATCACTTCTCTTTAGCAGTTTGAATAAGAAATACAATAGATTTCATTATCAAGGTTCTGTCTGTTATAGTTTATGAAGAGAGTAATAACAAAAAAAAAAAAACTTCAACCTTATGCTTGTATAATTCTCTGAGTTAATATTTCATAAATAAATAGTATACGATCAAATCTAAATATTTGATATTCTTCATTGATTTTGAAATACTATTTAAATCATCTGCTCGTATTTGTAAATTTGAGATATATTATTCGAGTATCTCACAATTTCTTTCATCATATTTTCATAATTCTATTAAAACAACATTACAACTATATGAAAATAAACAAGAAATCATTGTTCAATTTTATACATGAATATTTATTTAAAATGTACAATCGTGCTATGAATGACAAAAAAAAAATATAATCCTAAATTGATAACTTTTTCTTTCAATCGAACGTCTCTTCAATCATGATAGTCAATGCTTTTAGTAATTTTGAATTGAGAAAAGTTTGGTTTTATGATTGATGGTTAGAACTAAGTCAATGCACTCAAATCGTACACATTCTTTGCTTTTGAAGTACACACACTGCCAAAGTATTAGAAAAGAGATCTGTTTTTTTTGTCTCTCTTTACCGTTATAGATAAACATCACAGATATAAAAGTATTATCTACATTACAAACATATTGAACTTCGATTTGTCTTGCCTATATCTATCAAATACAATATCTAATAATCACTGATCAATGTTTAACTACAGTTATGTCTTAAGATTTTTTTTTTATAAATATTTCGAAATATCTCTATTGCAAGAATGTTCTAGATAAGACACCTATAAAAATTTAAAAAAAAAAACTTTCTAATCATTATATTCAACAAGATGATGTCTCATAGTCAATTTGATAATGAAATAAACACAAAAAAAAAATGTTCAATTATCGATACTTCTTGCTTTAATGTTATATTCACTATGGATAAAGTCAAAATTACTTTTCTCTATTCGTAAAAGTAATCATTTGCTACCGTTTTTTTAATCCTTTAACAACTGGTGGTATAAATATGTACTACTTTTGCTTTTCGATTACAGAACTATAATGAACTAGAGTCAACGACTCTGGTAGAGGGAACGATAATACTGCAGTGGCCTTGTTGCTAGTTTTTTTTTAATAGCGTATGATTGTTGTGCCATTGGTTTGATAGAAAACTACGGTATGGACATGGATATAGATATGAATCCTTGATTCACATCCTCGCGCATAATAATCTAGATCGTAGTCTACTTGACTGTATCATCGGCATCGATAGAACTTAACCATCTAAAATTCGACTGTTAAAGGAGTTAATATTGTTTCTCTTTAAGAGATTCATTTTAAAAAATTCATATAAGTTGAATATCTTTCACAGTTTTTATTTTATTCGACTATTTTCGTTTGAAATGAGTGACATATACGTATATATATATATATATTAACAAAAATAGAACTTTCACACATTTGACATATTGTAACAAAATGATAACTATTTTAATAACAATAGTAAAAAAAAAAAAGAACTACATATTAATTATGAGTTTTTACCCCATAATGGTATAATTGCTTTTTCATCAACAATTGAAGATGTTTCATTTTGTTTAATAATATTATCAATAAAATTTTGATGAATTTCATTAGTTTTATACATATCAATGGAAAGTGTAAGTATTTCAAGAAGATGTTTGATAAGTTTAGAAAATGTTTGTACTGCATGATCATGACCATATGTATGCATTAAATATTTCCAAATAAGTTCAACATAAGCATTTTGACTTCCTAATAAACGAAATGTACCTAATAATAAACTATCTCTAGTAATATTTCCATCATCATGTATCATATAACAATTGGAAGAAAAAGCAAGAGCAACAAGTGTTATTTTGAAAAGTATTGGATCTAAACTAAGTTGTTGACAAATTAATCTAGTTTGTCGTGTTACTTCTGTGCCATATAATGGTAAAATTACTAATTCATTTTCAGGTTTATCAAATATACCTGATTCACGCATTAAATACATTCCACCAACACATAGAAGACCAAGCATATTACGTTGAAATAATGAACGTTGTTCATCTGATGTAAGTACTTTAAAATCAGGTGTTGAACTTATAAATAATTGTAAAGAATTATAAAATGATGACATTAAATTAAGTGATTGAGATACATCATATTGAATATTTGATGCTGTTGTAGTTAAATTTTCAATTGAACGTCGTACTGCTGAAACAGGACTAAATACATCAAATGCATGTACAATATTAGATATTATAGACCGATCTGAAGCACTAAGATCTACATGTCCATCAGGTGGTCGATCCAATGCAGATTGTTGTGGTATAGTCTAAATGAAATGAAATGAAATTATTTTAAGAAATTTTGTCAAGAATAAAATATAAATCAACTAAAATATAATTCATTTTGAAAATAATATGTTGAAATATTTGAAAAGTAAACAAATCTTTTGTGAAACAGTCTTTAAAATGAAAAATTATCTATCATAAAATATAATATGAAATATTAGATTATTATTTATTGTAATTGTCGAAACAGTTACATAGACTGTTTAGAAACTATATTATCGAAGAGAAGGATCTTCGAAATTATTGTCTAAGATTATATTGCTAACTCTATATATACATTACTAAATATTAGACATATGATAGTTCCCAATTAGATAAACTAGTTTTTTTTTTATGAGAGCTGCCTGTACTGAACATCTGATTTGATCCTAAGAGTAACGAAGAAAGTTTCTCAAGTAATTGATTGCTTTAGAATCTACACTATGTACATCGTGTAGATTCTAATGAATTTTAAATTTTTTAAAAATGATTCGGACCCTTAGCTTATTGTTGCTGAGATGCTGTATTTTTATGGTGTTTTCGAAGTCATGTCATGGTTTCTTCAGTAACACAAGAAACGCTCATTTTCAAATTTTACCTTGAAAATTTTCACAGAGAATTTGACAAAAATAATTTATTGTGGAAGTTTCAGATCGTATACAACTAAGCCTGAATCGTCCAGACAGGTTTACAATTGAAGTCATGCCTCAGACTGGGCCGATTGCCCGATATACTCGAGCGAGTATATAGGACACTATCTATATGAAAAAAAAAGGCTAAAAGTTTGACTAGAATCAATTTTTTTGAGAAATTATTGCAAAAAAAATCAATTAACAGTGCCAAATTTCGATACAATTCGATATAAAATTTGATTATGATAGATTTTACTCAGTAAAAGCCGATTAAGATTATATTTTTTTCCAAAGAAATTGAAATAATCCATTTTAATCTGATTATTCGTGTGATTATTTTAACACTGGTTGTGGTCTATTCAGCACAAGGACTAGCACATACTTATATGACAAATCAACCAGACTTATAGTGCAATCAAGAGCAGATCGATAATTTTGTCTCTGTTTTTTTGTTTTCACTATGAATTATCAATATCAAGTCTTTAGAACCATAAAGATTGGACTAGAAATGATTCAAATCATGGATAATCAATTCTTCTCTTACTTTCATTATATTAGAGAATAACGCTAATAGTTAAAAACAGCATTAATCGTTTCCTGATGTAATTGCACCATCTCTGCTTAAAACAATGTATATAACAGTTCCAACTTTATTTTCTTTGTCAGACTTTAGCTTAGTGACAACTCCATGGTTAATAGATATGAGAAATAAAAAAAAAAAAAAACTATGAAAAATGTGAGTTTCATGTTTGAATGACAAGAAAAGCGCTGATCTTCGATATGCATGATTAGAATCAATTATCAATTAATAATAGATTAAAATTGAGCAATGATTAGCATCAGATTATAATCTATCAAGAAGTAATAATAGATTATAGTTGATTCAATGTTAACCATATAAAGAAAAGATGGAAAATTTCTGATTTTAATTCGTTTGTTAATTAAAAAAATCGATTAAAATTAAATTTTTTTCATCATTGTTTTCTTCGACATGGACAGTATATATAAATAGTATAAAAGGCAAGTTGTTATCATATATTTTTTGGTAAGCTCTGCTGCTATGAAAACTTTCAAATTGAAATTTGCAAATCAATGTTTCTGACGAAGACCATAAAATTGATTTATGCAATATCGTCGCCATAACCAGTTAACGACCTGTACTCCTCTCAAAGTATTCATAGTTCATTAGAGTCTGCATAATGCACACTTGTATAGTTTTGCTACATAGTTCGAATCGCTACAGTCAAAAAATTGTAATTGTTAAAATATAATCAGATTTTCAGTAGATCAATTCATATAAAAATAACCGGTGATTAATTAGAGTTTTCTTTTAAGAATTGAATGATTGAAATTAATGCAGCTAATCAATTAAGTAACAATAACATGTTTACTAAATATTTAAACTCTTGTAGTTATTCATAAATGTCCCATTTTATATTCCAGTATGTTATAAGAACATTCTTCGATTTTTACATACCACCACAGGAAGTTCGTCAATTTTTGATTTGGTAGATTTTTGTTTTTCTCTCGTTAAATCTACTTTACGAATTAAATCTGGACACATGCCTACAGCAAGACATTTAGCAAGCCGACATGGTTTGCAAACTTTTCTTGTTAACATATTTACTTCACAATCGCCATCATAACGACATGCCGGAACTTCCTGTAAAATAGAAAATATTATTTTAAATAAAACACAAAAGCAAACAAATATGTATTTAGATATTCAAACTTTGTTAGGATAACCATTTCGACGAAAAAATGTACGACATGATAAACAAGATAAAGCTCCATAATTAATTAGTGTTGCATTGTCTCCACATACTAGACAACCACTAGTTGTTGAAATTGATTTTTTCTTTGCTTCATTTGGATCATCAGATGAACTCATTGATATATTTCACTTGTAGAAATAGTATAAAAAATTTCTTTTTTTTTTTTAAACTTTTTCATGATAATAACACATACTTCTCATGGAAAAATAAACAAAAAAGATTGAGCTACTGATCTTAATGAAATTTAATTAAATGAAATATTTCTATTCTTCCTCAAATATTTCTATTCTTCCTCAAATATAAAAATTTAAGAACCAAATAAGCAGGATGCGTCCTTTTTCGTCCTTATCTTCCTTACATCCTGACACATGAATTAAGGACGAAAAAAGGACGCACCCAATAAGCACTCGTCTACTCATATAGTCAATGGAATATTTTGAAAAATTTGAAAATCAAAAATTCTTTTTTTTTTCCATACAAAAAAAAACAAAAAGTAATACTTTAGTAATTATAAATTATGTATTATTAATATCAAGAATATGGATGAATATTTATTCAAAGTCAATAAATACTTTAAGTACATTATAATAAAAATTAGTTTTACATTTTTATTTAAAGTCTTTAATTAAGAAGTAATCATTAGTCATTATTTTAAAGCATTTTATAAACTGTTTTTTTTTAGATAAATAAAATTACTTACGTTTTTTTATTATTGTTTCTTTTTTTTGGTAATAATAGAGATTACGTGAATATTGCTTGGAAAATTACGATTTTGTGATTGTTCAAGGCTACATATTCGATGAATCAAAGCATATTTACTTTTAATGTTATTATTTATAGTCATTTTGGAAGATAAATAATCGTTTTTTTTTTCTCTCGTCTACATTTTTCTAACTACCATTTCTTTATTTACGGCTCTTGCAATAGAAACTTAGAGAAACATAAAATGTTTTTTTACCCTTTTCAAAGCAAAACGTGCTGAGTGATAACAATCTACTGGAGTGCAAATTTATTGTTGTTGTTTTTTTCTTTAATAAGAAACTAAATATGAGTATAGAATAAATGAATATTATTTGATTTATTTATTTGATTCTACAAATTTCTTTTGAATAAATTAACTAATTAATTTTCTGATAAATATTATTTTTAAAAATATATATTGAAATACAAATACATCAAATATATTGAATACAATCATATTTTTTTTATCGTAGCAGAATATTGATTCTTTAAATCTATAAAGCAAAAAAAAATATTATTCGATAGCTTTCAGAAAGAAAAAAACACAAGTTATTTGTCTTCCTATAATTTATTTGTACTGAAAGGACACTATATTCTAATGTTTGAAACTAAACTAAATAGAAAATGCTTTCTCATCAAAAAAAAATTGATAGATTTGATCTTGTAATTTACTGAAACATAAGTTGAAAGATGCGTAAAAATATTATACAAAAAATATTAAAACATTTTATAAACAAGCCTCAGCTAACACGTGCTTGCCCTCGTGCCCTCGAAATACAGATTTGTGTTGTTCTGACATTTATAATATAACGACGAAATTTATTATACGATGCAATGATGTATCGTTTTTTTTTAGAAATTTTTCTTAAAAGTTGATTTTAATATTGAAACAATGCTTTCGAATTAATTAAATGTTGATTGTGATGAGTCCATAAAATTATGTTATTGAACTATATTATCATCTAAAATATTTAGCGATTAATTTTATACTAATTTAAAAAAAAACACACGATTAAGTACACCTATATTCTAATTATATAATGATTTTAGATAAAAATAAATAAATAAAGTTTATCGACATAAATATGATAATAAAATCATCTAGGAATATATAACAGCAGAGAAAAGAAAAATTTCTTGTTTATTCCTCACGTGATTATGAAAGAAAAAGAACAAAGAAAAAGAAATGATAAAATGCGCATTTATCTCGAAGTCAACCTTAGTTCCTATTCCGATTTAAAATAATAAGATAAAAACAGTTGAATGTTATATCTCAAGCAAAAAGAAACAGATGTTGACGTCGAATTTTTTGCTGTAAACTATGCAGAAGCATTGCACGTTCCCATGGAAATAAATGACGGTCTTCAAATGGATGTCTATAATGTTGTTGTTTTTTATTGATAAAATTTTCTTTATTAGAAAAATCATTTTTCAAATAAACAATTAGCTTATGATCTTTTGATTGTATTCATGTAAAAATATTCATTTTATATTATCATCTTTAAGCGTTTTAGAAAATTTACTATCTGATATATATATATAAGGGAATAGATAATTTTCGGTACAATAAAATATGAAAAACTGAAAATAGGTCTCAACAAACTTCTAAGTAACATATTCTATGCTCGTCTTAGGTGACTAAAGTTTCCTTACACTTCATAGAATATTAAGAGCAACTACAAATTGTATAGTTTTGTTTCTGCTTGATTTAATTATTAAATTGACTTTTCTTATTGATAAGGCTTAAGTCATTGTTCAGCTTCGTATGGGAAATGAGTAATTAGAAACGATTCACAATACATTCAAATATGTTCACAACATTCAACTGAATTGTCTCATACTTGGAAAGAATATTCTTGAATTGATTTAATTAAAAATATCTATCGAAAAAGTATTTACTTTACATTTTATATGATAATGTAAAATTTTTCCTCAATGATACAAGGTCAAAGTTTTGAAATTTTCATTGCTTATATAAGTTTTTTATAGTAAATCTCTTGTAAAAAATCTGAGTTAAATTAAAATGCTATACAACAGACAATTCTCAAAATGTCACTTGATAAACTGACTATAATGATGTATATTTAACGAGTTCTGTTTTGTTTTGTTTTCAAACAAAACTGGTATAGACAAGCACCTTTTTTTCATTAGAAAGAGTTCTTTATGCCGTTTGCTCTTTCATAACAAGAACTAGAATTATGTTTATGTCATTTTATGAAAAAAGAAAAAAAAATATACAAGTATCTGTCAAACGATGTGGACACTTGATGAGAGAATGAAAAAAAGGAATAAAGTTTAAATAAATTATATATTATGAGAGAATATCGAATGTTGTGCAAACTCATCTATTAATAGATTTATTTTTCTCTTGTTTTATTATAGACAAAAGATTTTCTTTTCTTTACACACGCCATCAAAAAAGAAAATGACATTTGAGAGATATCAGATGTCAACAAAAAAAATTATTTAAATCGATTGAGTAAAACAAAAATTACAATTTACTTAAAAATTAAAAAAAAAAATTTCTCTCGATATGTATTGATAGTAAAAAAAAAGGAATGTTCTATTTTTCTATGCTATTCGATTATCTTTCAATTAATATCACAGTAATAAAAATTTCTATTAGATCTATTTGGTTATGATATCGAACGACAATACTAGTTCATATAGTCTTTGATATGTTTTCTTTTTACTTTATTCTTTTTTCTCGTCCATTTTACTGTCTAACCGTTTACCCATATATATTCACAAAGATGTCTGTCTTGTTTATGTGCGTAGTTTATATCTATATTTTGTTTTATGTTCTACGGCCACGGCTGTTTGTATAATCTAATATATATAAATAACTATGTGTATTAGAGGAGACGAGAAAAAAGAATAAAGAAATGAAAAAGTCAACAAGAAAATATATATATCAAAGACAATGTAAAATAATTTTATTATCACACATGATAACTAAATAAATCTTATTGAAATTTTTATTATTATAATATTTTTTGAAGTATCATCAAATATCATAATAAAAATAGAGGATTTTTTTTTCTTAATAATCACAACAGTTGTAGAATTCAGAATTCAGAATTCTATGGACTTATGTATTTTTTTTTAAACCAGTTGATTATTAGACACTAGAATTCTATGTTCCATAAGACAAATTTTACATGAACTAGCGATCAAAGAATAGTAGAATTCTGTCGAATTTTATATTCTTCACTAGAATTGAAGAGTGACAAGAAATATGTGTTAACCTCTACTAATTTTGTTTATCTTATGCTATTAGGAATAGAATTCTGGTGTAATTTTTGAATTCTTAGTCGAAGTCTGTTGTTTGAAAGGTTGATAGATTAGTATGGAGCTTAATAGTTTATTTACTAATGAGAATTTATCTTAATGAGCTAAGTCCATTGTTTATCGATTAGATTTTTAAATTCTGAATTCTACAGCTCCTCAATAATTAGACTATATAGAGAAAAGATTTCTTTAAACTTCTTATAAGGAATTAAGATACTTTCGTCACTGCTGTTGCATGATCATAACTGATTCTCTGTTTAATATTATATTCTATTTGATGATGAATAAAGCATTTAACCATTGACAGATGATAATGTTACTAATTTGAGATTATTTGATCAATTTAATATCTTTAGATTTTTCTCTATGTTTTGTATAAAATAAAGTATAAAATCATCTTTCTTTTCATTTTCATATACACATAATGATCTCATGAGTATTCTTTTTAATATTTTTTCTATTTTCTAACGGCTACAAATTTAATTCTGGAATTATATCAACACAAGAAAAATATTGTTAAAAGATTTTCAAATATGAATCGTCGTTTTCCTGATCTATACCTTTTTTTTATTGATTTCCTTACTACTGGTAAAGTAGTTATGAAAAAATCAATTTATGAAATTATTGACACATATTGAATATTCAATTTAAAGGATCATGTATCATAATGATAGATCAGAATATCTACATTCAATATTTCAAAAAATAACACACTTTTGTAGACTAAAACACCTTCAAGACAATCTAATAATCATGAGATTGATCTAAAAATCAAATTACAAAGTAAAACTCTATAATTTGATTTTTCCATAAATATCTTGCTGGTGATAAGAAAGCCAAAAAAATACGGTCATAGTTGAGGAAAGGCGAAGCTGTTTTTTTTTGGCTTCTATTAGTCTCGTCCGATTGATTCAGGTTTTGGTTATAAATATCATGTTAAGTTTGCCGATTAACGGAAAAAATTTTGAAGATCTTTATCATTCATTTTTCATATAAAAATTCTTCAAGCTATTTTTTTTCTCTATGTGTAACGACACATTCGATATTGATTGAAATATAAAGCATTTTTAGAAGACTATTGTTATCATTAGATGCAATAATAACTTTGTTCGAAATCAGTATTTAAAATGTTTTTTTAATATAAATATGCCATTTACAAGACCTGATTCGAATGTTTTATGTTTTCAATAATTAATTTAAAATTTTTTAATCATATTATGCAGTTTTATCGTTATTTTTGTATATATTTTTTTACATGCACAGTCTCTTCTATTATAATATAATTATTTTTGTAGAAGTTTTCAAATGAAAAGAATTAATCTAAAATCTTTTATATTCAACTTAAAAAAAAGCTTTTTTTTTTCAGTACTTTTTTTATTGTTAGAACTGAAAAATAAGAATTTTTCTAAGACAAACTTTAATGTATAACCTATGAAAACGATACTCATTATGATATTTATGTATATAACAGAAGGAAAAATTGTTATTAAATATTTTCTTTCCATAGAGTCTCTATTATAGAGACTATTTTTATAAAAATAATTATTGATGTGTGCATATATATAATTAAGTGAATAGGGAAGCATCATGTTCAATCATATTCACAACGTATGACATGAATATGATATTCATACATTTATATAGCTCATGTTATTGTGCCTGCTTTATTGTAAGCTTCAGATTTTTTGTTTTCATATAAAAAAAAAAAATGAGAATGACATATTTAATATATTAGTACTTACTGGGGTGTATGCAATATTTTCTTTACCAGTTTGATTAGTCTTACTTAAAATATATATTTTGAGACGTGAGATATTATAATAAAACAAATACAAATTAAAAAGATTTTTAATATTTCAATTGAACTAAATCGATATATTGAATAATACATTTGAAGAACGTGAATTTATTGCTATTTAAAAAGAATATATTAAGTTATCAATCAAAATTTACAATTTTTTAAGTTCTGCTCGCAATAGAAAACATTTCCCTTTAAACTCTCAACACAATTTTTTTTTTGAATCCTTCAAAAACAAAACTTAGTTAATAAAAATAAGACCCAATAGAAGATTTTTTACACCTGAATATAATAGAAGCCATTAGGATCTTTAATCATATTGATAAACTATTTTTCAATCTCACATGATTAACTCTTTACCTTCTTGTACTTATTGCAGTAGAGATTGATGTTGAATAAACCAAGAAAATAGTTTGATTAAGTCTTAATTATGACATAGTTGCAGTTCAATACGAGTGAAGTCATTTGACTATGAAAATATAGAATAATCAAAAATGCCTCATTTGTTTTGAATAACATAAAAATTGAATTTATTATTAAATTAATTCTTTTACGACTTTTTGCAATTATATCGTTATTCCAACTGAACATCTCCTAACTATGAATTGGTGTTTGACAAATGATTTATTTCAGAGGACAATATATAGTTAAACATTTTCAAAAGCTACTATTTACAGATTGATATTATTTTTCCTTTACCAATAAAAAAAAAACATCGTTTGAAAATAGTCATGGAATACTTTTTGACTGGTTATTAAGTTTAATTACGTACTTAACATGAAGATCGTGTTTTTCTATTAGTTTATATGACAATTAACATTACTCTAAACAAACCATTTTTTCATGTTACTTACTATAAATAAGTCAAAAATAGATTAGTAAACGATAAGCATGGCAACTTAAGCATGAAAATGTTCAGCAGCAGAAACTTAAGCATACATAAAAGAACGTAGGTTTGAATGCACCTAGAATTGCTGATGAAAATGAAAAAAAAAGGAGAAGACTAAGAGCTACACCCAAAGTCACACTATTTATTATATTTTTTTCATCAATAAGTTAAAATTTTCGAATGAGATCATTACAATTCTTCTATTATACTATAAAAATAAAAAATTTCTTTTATTTTTAAAACATATTTTTTTATTAATATTTATATTTTAAGTAAATTTATCAAACAATAATTTTGTTAAAGTGAAGATCTTTGAGAGATATGTATTATAACTTATACATCTATTAAAATAATAGACATAGTCATGAATAGAACAAATTAAAAAAATATCTAATTAATAACTGGAATAATAAACCGTTTGATAATTTGACCAAAGAAGACCAGCATTTATTATATAAGTTGCAACACAAACAAGACATAAATCTTTAAGAATAAATGCAAGTATATAAGCCAAATAAAGTGAACCAAGACAAGCTAATATAGATGAAATTAAAGCAATTTTAGTAAATAATGGTATTGGTATTAAACCTTTTGTTTAAAAAAAAAATAAATATCAATCAAATAAAAACCGTTTTTTTTTTTCTTACCAAAAATAATTTGTAAAATATAAAAAATCATACCTAAATTACCATTCGATGCATTCATCTTACTATTTTTACCAAATAAAGCATCTGTTATACCAAATCCAGTACCATATCTTAATATATATATATATTAAAAATAATTTTCTTTATCTATTGTATTCATTAATCTTACTTGCTAGTTAAAACTCGTGTACAACTTGCATTTGGTCCTAGATCACATAATGCTCGATATTTTGGATTTTTATCATGTTGTTTTTTAACATAAAATGTATAAATACATGTAATAAAACCTGTTATTCCCAATAATACTTGATTAACGATCATGTCTTTTGTTGTTTATTTTTTGAATATCTATGAAAATGAAAAACAAATATACACTGCACATTAACATTCTCTCAAATAGGCATCCAATAAATACATATAATATATAATAAATAAAGTTTTTTTTTTTTTCTTTTGAAAGACAATAACAAAACAAAGAGAATATCTGACATTAAAAAGAAAGAAAAAAACAACGTTTAATAATCGTTCACACATTGAAAGACAATTAAAACAACATAGGGGGATATTGAAAATTATTTAAATGAGCACCGATTGAATGAACGCTTTTCTTTTTTTTTTTGAGTATTTATGGTTGAGAAGTTATAACACCAACCATTTCATCAAGTTGATAGAGTAGATTGGCACTAAGTGGTAATTGATGTTGATAAGATATTGGACGAGATCGACACTAAAATATAATTAATCATGTAAATAAATATATAGTAAGAGATCAAAGTCTATATCACAACAAAAAAAGATTTCAGACATTCTAACGATTTAAATATGAAAGACAATTATGATCAATGTAATGTATTTCATTTACAAGTATCATAAATAAACTATATATTGATAAGAAATAGCATATGTTATGACATCGTATTGATAGAACGAAGGATTCAGTTATGTTGATATTCGAATAAATCAATTCATCTTTTAAGTAAAGAATGATTGTAGACTGATTCAAGTTCCACTTAGGAATTAGTAAAAAGAAAATGAATGCATAATTGAATAGGCAATCTTTTTCAGGATAAAAAAAAACAACTCAATATAAAAATAGGTATTATCCATCAAAATTATCTTTCTGAGTTGTGTCTTTGACCTACAAAATATGTCAAACCTTCAGCATTTATAATGAATGATAACCTCGAAGATGAGAACTTTTGTTCGCTACTATATATATATCATAAATAATGGAAATAGAATTTTGTATTCATATAGTAACCAAAGAAACTCACAGGATTAATACTGAAAAAAAAACAAATCGATTTATTTCATATAACAAATATTTTCATAATTTTAATACTTAGATTTGGTTATTTCTAAAGGAAGATAAACATATCGATACTCATCGTAAAGAATTTTTCTTCAATAAAAACTCAAAAAAGTAAATACATCTTCAGTGTTTTTTTTTTTTGTCTAATATATCAAAATTGTTAAATATCATTAAATATTTCACTATAATCAATCTAATCATCTAGAAAAATAAAATTTGACTTACACTTGTTTCATTAACTGTTTTTTTCTTAATTGAAATAATATTTCTTTCAACTTTAATTATATCTCTATTAATATTAATTAATTCATTTTCATTTGTATATATTTGTTTATTAATTGAATTTTCAATATATGATGTCATTTCATTTAAATTCCAAACTTTTTGACGTAATTTTGCCATTAATGGAATAATATGTGCTTCAGTTGTAAATATATAATGATTTGCACCATGTTGATTTAAATAATTATCTTCATCAAATAACTAAATAATATAATAATATAATTATTTATTAGATTTTTTTTTTAAATAAATTAACTTACTAAATATAAATATTTACATGTTTCACTAAGAAAAAATGATTCCATACGATCTTCAAGTGTTTTATCACGAACATCATGTACAGTAGCAAAACCACATCTAATATTTTATAAAAATTGAATTATTATTAATATATATATATAAACATACTCGACTTTTGTATAAAGATTTAAATTATCTAAAATATCTCTACCAACATGTAAATAAAATGGATTTTTTGTTGCTTGATATAAAAAATATGTTGATTCAATAAATTCTGGTCTTAATGGATAAAATAAAACATCAGGCATTTTTATTTGCCAATTAAAACGTTCAGGTAAAACACCAAATTTTCTCCATATTGAATAATAAAGTGCATGTAAACAAATAGCTTCATCAATATCACCACGTAAAACTTGTACAGCTGAAAATGATGCTTGTAATGCATCAATCCATGTTGTTGCTAATTGTCCAGTATGCATATTAACATTAACAAATATTGGATGAATACCTTCTTCATCCATACAATTAACTCGACTAAACAAAAATTTAAATCAAATAAAATAAAATTTATAAATATTAAACAAACCCGCGACGAAGATATTGAGTTACAC